TCTCTCTCTCTCTCTCACGAGAATGAATCTTCCTCTTTATCGAGGAAGATTCATTTTTGTTGGGCATGTCTGATTTCTTTTTGTTTTTTTTTTGTAGAATGTTGTATGTTTTTTTTTTGTGTTTTTTTTTGTGTTTTTTTTTTTTTTTTTCCATTGTGTACTACCGGTTGTCCGAGGCTCGGGAATGACCGGGCTACCGGTAGCCTGAGCCATGGGCCTTGACAACCGGTAGGTACTAGGTACTGGTGGTTTAAACGACCAGTACTAGGCCGAGCTATCGAAGCGGAGCCTCCCAGCCCCCTGCGCGCCAAGTCCTGCCGAACCGCCCTCGGTCTTTTTCGTTTTCATTTTGGCAGTGGCCTCCAGCCAATGCGGTCTGGTAGGCCGAAGCCCGAATGCCACGGAGCGTTAATGGGGAAGCGCTGTGGCCGATAGCTGGGCCAAGTACTGGTGGTTTAATTTGTGCAAGTGGGACCTAACCCGCAGTAGTACCTGACGGTTTTTTTCTGGGCCAAGTACTGGTGGTTTAATTTGTGCAAGTGGGACCTAACCCGCAGTAGTACCTGACGGTTTTTTTCTTTTTCTTGTGCACGTGGTAGTGAGTGGCTCTACCGTCTTCACCCGATCACTGCATCTAGACTTAAAGTTCAACCAAATACAGCTATAATGACAGGGCGTTCTATTCGGGTCTATTCCCGATCATTATCACGGTATCCAGACTTAAAGTTCCACCAAATACAGCTATAATGACCGGGCGTTCTATTGAGGTGAAGACAGTCTGGGGTAGGAATAGTGGATTGGAATGGCTGGCGGGTGACAGGCCAGGAAGACCTGGTAGTGACTGGTTGTAGTTTGGGGTGGTCTTCACCCGTATAACGTGGTGTCATTGTAGCTGGATCTGGACTGAAAATTGCACCAAATACAGCGATAATGGACTGAAAATTGCACCAAATATGGCTATAATGACCAGGCGTTCTATTGGGGTGAAGAGGGGGTTGCAGGAAGCAACACTGGTTGGTAAACAAGTGTTTTTTTTTTTTTTTTTTTTCATTTTTTTTTTTGTATTTGCTCATGGCTATTAATTTCTTCTTTGCACACGGTAATCAATTAATGTCTTCTTTGCACATAGGGTCTCGTTAGACACTCCTAAAAGAATCCTAAAATTTTTAGGACGAGTCCTAAAGGATTTTTAGGATTTTGTACGGCGTCGTTACACGCAATCCTAAAAATCATCTTTTAGGATTAGTCCTAAAAGGTCTCCCGCGGCCGGTTTTCATATGCGTATACGCAGCCGCGTCACCAATGTTCATCCATTCCTNTAAAAATCATCTTTTAGGATTAGTCCTAAAAGGTCTCCCGCGGCCGGTTTTCATATGCGTATACGCAGCCGCGTCACCAATGTTCATCCATTCCTGCCAATGTCTGTCCAATCCCCGCCAACGGCTACCGTTCATGGCCGTTGGTCGCGTCGACCTGCAGAAAACCTCCGATGTCCGACCACTGACCCGACGGACCGCTTCTGCACCAGCAACTCCGTGTCCACGGTGCCATGCGCGCGACGCAACGAGTCCGTGAAGCACGGGAATCCTAAATTTTTCAGTAGGTCGGGAGCTACTGGAAAATTTAGGACGATTTTGCCTGGGGAATCCTAAATCCTTTAGGACTCATCCTAACGCCGTTTTCACATTTTCGATCTCAAAATTGGATTTAGGAATGCGTGCAACCAAGACGCAAATCCTAGAAACAGGCACTTTTAGGAGTGTCTAACGAGACCCATAGTAATATGTCTATCAGTAGGGAACAAGGCATATCTACAAACGCGTCAGCAGCCGCTGATTAAAGGTTGGCAAACACGTCGGGAAAAGTTACAAGGGGCTTGCCACACAGCCTTTCGAAAGGAGGCATTTTCCAAAATTTGCCGGATGGGATTTGAAAGATTGATGCTCGAAAGACCCCCCCCCCTTCCYTCGYCACACATACTCCCCCCCCCCCTCTAAAACTCTACTTTCTTTTCATTCGAAAAAAAAACATTGAGGCCGGGGACCTCACAGTTCTACCCAGAATTATCCTGGCAGCATCAGCCAGCTTGGCTTACAGCCTCACGGCTGGGAACAACCATTCGATCCAGTTACTGACAACATCTAGGTCTTTCTCAAACTGGATGCCAGTTCTCTAGACTGGCAGCACACCTAAGTAAGTCCTTGCTATGTACATTGAGCCTCTTACTGAACAAAGTAGAGAAGGCTGGAGGTGGCGATTATGGTTCCTGAGAGATTCACTCTACAGAGTTTCCATACTAATGCTGGGACCACCATGGCCCAGTGGACTACCGGTAGCGGTCCTGAACCTATTGGCACTCGCCTAAAAGGCCCACGGCGGCCCTACGATTACCGAGTGCCCTGGTAGGGAGGCACTCTCCTAACTACAGGCCCTCCAGACCTAGTGTCCTGATCCAGAGGGCCAAAAGACGCTAAATATAACCTACTGTTTACTCAACTTGAGCATGCAGTCCAAAGTACTATCCTACTGTCTATGCCCTGTGGGGCACCTGGCTCAATCCTGCCTGCAATCCAGGGCGAGAGTACTAGTCCTCTTTCCCAATGGACAGCCGCCAGTTTGTGTCGCTGAGCCCAGGTGCGGAGAAACCAAAGGAGCTGTTTCCTGCTACCACACCCTGATTTCACCTTCCTCCTCTCTCAAACCGGTTTTGATTTTATGCTTTTGATTTCAGTATCTGAGAA